TTCTGGGCATATAACATTTGTGGTGTTATGAACTACTTCCAGTACCTCATAGCGATTTTTGGGTGTGGAATGAAGGACTACTAGACATGACCTAAATCTTTCTGGTTTCCAGTGGCTTGCTGGGTGTCTGAGGCTGTTAGTCCTGGAGTCATGGCAGGAGCCAGCTTCTCGGTTGCCTGCCTGGTGCTCTTTCCACTGGCAAATACCAGAGACTCTCCAGCTGTATTGTCTTGTGGATCTGTGTATCTCTGAGCTTCCTATTACTGTGACAAAATAGCCAACACAGGCAATTTAGGAAGTAAAAAGTGTTTACTGTGGTTACTGCTCTGGAGATCACATCAGAGTTTGAGTGTCCTTCCCCACGGTTCGGCTCTCTGGTGATGATGACACGTCATGATGGGAGCATGTATAGGAGAAAAACGGTCCCATCTGGGACAAGCCGGGTCCCAAGTTCTTCTAGAGGGCCAGACCCCAGTGACCTAAGGACCTCCTGCTAGACGACCCCCGCTTAAAGGTGCACCCAGAGGACCAAGGCTTTTACATACAGCCCTTTGGGGAAAGCTCACCTAAACCACAGCAATAATCTTGAAATTCTCCCCAGAAATGTGCACACCTATACAGACACGCATGTGTACTGTTTCTAGGCTTATATGGGTTTCTTAAACATCCGTGTTACCATAGATAGAATTTCCGATTTAAGGGGAAGAATGAATTATTTTGTTCACTCAGTGAATGTTGACTGGGGGCCTGCTGTGAACCATCCAACTTTTTTACCAGGCATCGCTGTTGGGAGATTTTCCGGAAATGGTTGTGTAGCAGGTCTGAAGCTGCTCGGAGTAGTTTCAGAGAGGGTTTGGTCAGGACCACTTGCTCACTAGACAGATATTGGACTGGGCTTTGAGGGTCTGAGAGGCCAAGCTACTTACTTTTTAAATTAGTATTTTAGAGTTGTCTATATGAATAGACTATGTATTGGAAAATGACCTTTGGCAAATGGGCTTCTAGTAAAGTGGGTGCCAACCGCTGTGAACATCTTGCTACATATGTCTGAGTGTAGTTGCCCAATTATATTATTAGAATAAATTGCCACAAATGTATATGCTGGTTAGAGTATATCTGTATGTTAAAGGTTTTGCCAGATACCGCTAAATACCATCCTATAGAATTACACCAATTAATTCTTTGTCAGTACTTGAGAAAATATTGTCACACATCCATTTGTATTTTTTTCTCAAAAAAACTTTTTTTTTTTTTACCAATTTAGTAGGTAAAAATTTTTAATGTGAAATTATTTGTGATTATTGAGTTTTTCAAATGAAGTTTTAGCTGTGTGTGCTCCTTTGTGAACTACCTGTTTGCTTATTTTTTTAAAAAAAAAATGCAGTATTTATCCTTTTGTTTTTGCACTGTCAGTTTGTTTTGTCAGTCAGTGTGACTTAGAAGGTGCCTTAGTCCTTTTTTCAAAACAATGAGCTATACTTAAAGAATTCACTCAACTGAAACACTGCTTTTTGAGAAGGTCTTGTTGATCGGATGGCCTGGAAATTCCGCAGAGCCTGTATTGCTATTAAGGCAGGTGGACAGTCTAGCTGGTCTTCCATGCTAAGTTTTCCTGGCAGCTGTGTCTGTGGTCCCACTGACCTCTACGGCCATGCCAGTATGTGGGTAGGGATTGAGTGGGACCCTGGTGTCCACTGGGATACATCACAAGACTTCTGTGAGCCCAGGGGCAGTTTGTATCAGGGGCGATGGAAACAGCGCCTGTGTGAGGCAGTAAGCCATAGCCAGTAAGGATGGGCAATAGTCAAGGACCATTTCCTCCATTTTGTTTATTTTAATATGTTGGCAAATAAGACAAAAATATCTCTTAAACATTTTAACTGAAAGCAGCTTTTGTGATTTCTGGTGTGTAATATCTAAGTTGAAATTTTGCATTGTGATGGTTTCTTTATAACATATGGCTTGGAGGGGGGGTACCAGGAGAAGTGTGTGTGTGAGTGTGTGTGTGTGTGTGTGTGTGTGTGTGTAAGAGCTGAGGGCGAATGTGACAGCAAGGTGTGAAGGAGTCTAATGCAGCGTGGATAACCTTAGAATGGTGCGGACAGGTGTTTAGTAAACAAGCACTCTCAGAAAAAACTCAGAGGGGACACTTCCCTGACAGCGAAGATACTCAGGTTGGTGCTTATGATGATTGCATGAAGTGGCTGTGGAGTGCCTCTGGTGTGGTCCCCGTCACACAGTAAGTGCCCCTTGGATGACAGTGCTTATATGCGCATCTGTAATAATATCCTTTCCTTCACTCTGTAATTATTTATTTCTGGCCTACTGTGTGCCAGGCTCTGGTTGAAGTGTTGATGGCACTGCAGTGAGTGGAGGAGCCAATACCTGATGAGAGAGAGAGTCCCCAAACCAATTAGAAGGGCATTAGAAGGGCATCAGCTGTGAGGACAGGTAGCTCTGGAGGTGCTCATGGGTAGAGAAGGGTTTGCAGTTTCACTTAGGATGGGCCGGGAAGGCACAATGAATGGACGATATGCAGACTTGGTTAGGCTCATCTTTTCTCCAGTTAACTAAGGGACTTGGAAAGGAAATTTTTTAAACTTTTGGTCCTAGATTTCCACATGTTGAAAGGAGAAATAATGCTAAAGACAACTTCACCGAGTTAGGTGCGGCCACCCATAAAGCACGTACCATTTTGCTGGACAAGCGCCTACCTGGAGGAAAGTGTTAGAGCCCAGGAAAAGGTGGGTGCTGGGATCCAGACAGCCCAGGAAAGCAGCATCCTCGCTGCCAGCTTGGAAGCGGGAGCTTTGCTCTGAAGAAAAGGTGCAGTGTGAGGATGAATAACGTGCGTGGGAAAGCAGCAGAGGAAGGAATGGTGTCGGTCGTGGCTGTGTGGGGGAAGAGATGAAGCAGCTAGGTTCTTTCCTTTCTTAAAAACAAAGTAAAAGACATGCTGCTTTTGTCCACCGTGTCTGCATTAGTTCTGTGCTGGTGCCTACAGGGTGTTTTGCAGCCCCGTTTTGGGGGACTATGACATGTATGTGTATAAAACCTAGAGTTAAAAATAGAGCCATGAGAAACAAATGCTGGAGGCATCTCAGGGGAGGAGTGATGCGCAGGGATGATGAGGGAGGCTTCCTGCAGAAGTCGATTGGATGTGATTCCTGAAAGAGGGGCCAGGTTTCTGATCTTTTCTTGAAGGGCACTGATACTTCCAGAGGGGGTTCCACCTCCCCTCTGCCCTGGCGGATCTTCTGGATGGAGCAGGTGGTAAGGTGAGCCAAGTTTGCAGAAGCATTGTGTCCTGTCACTCATGCGGCTGGTTTATACTCTGTGCTCATTTCCTGAAGTTCCGGCCAGCCCAGCTGGAAGGGGCCGCTGACCTGAGCGGCTCAGCAGGGCCCGGCCCCAGCACTGACTTGCAGAGCCACCCAGAAAGCTCAAGGGATTTGGGTGCTGCTGAGCTGCTGCAGGCTCCATTTACTGCTCCGTTACACTTCGCGTCACAAGTTGTCACCTGTTCTTACGCACATATTTGCAAAGCGTTTGGAGATCAGCAAACATATTATCCATGGTTTATATGTTTAGGGCGAAAATAAGTCCAGATAGAAAAATAATGGAAAGTTTCTGCACATCTAAAGAAATCACCAGCAGAGTAAAAAGAAAACCCACAAACTTGGAAAAAGTTTTAGCTGA